ATTCTTCCTTCATACACTTCCATGATGGTAAATTTTAAAGCATTACAATTACAAATTACAAAGAATATTATTATCCAGGTGGACTAAAGAGCTAAAACCCATCAATACAAACTCCCAATGTAGCATTCCTAATTTCTAATGCAAAAAAAGGATTTGTTTGATTGAAATGCCGTCATGCAAAAGAGTCAAAGCAATGACGTATGATGTCTACCTCAACTTCATGTTTGGTATTCCATATCATGTCACTAGCTATGGCATTCTATGCATACAACCTCTATAACTCGTAGAGTTAGGAAGAAATAGTATTTTTTTTTATACGGGACATAAGTTTCTCTTACCGATCCCTACCTAGAACTTTGATATCGAGGATGGTCACGGATTTTATAAAAAATTCTCTCATTGTCTTCGCCTTCATAAATCATGCATCCATTTATACGAGTTGTAGATTTGTTAAATTGGTAAACCCATCAATTCCATCAATTTTTCATACTTGTAAAATTTTTTTGGCATATAGTTATCAACGAGCATCAACTCTTTCATAAGTTAACATAAGTTATCATAACATCTCTTCAAAAAATGGCGTTTAGACTCAAGTGCAATAAACGGGCCAATGCGGATAATTGTGAGTGATTTTTCGAATCGAGCCGGATCACTCTATTCAATGTATTTAACAAATCATAAAATGCCCGGATAGTAGAATTTGGGACTTCTTCGGTGTTAGACGGAATAAATGATGGATCGGCTACATCCATCACCATGTGTTATATAGATGTCCGAGCTTTAAAGAAATTTCTTAAATTATCACCATAAACCACCAACTCACTTTCTCCATGACTTCTCTATACATAATACTTGAACGCAAAACTATATTTCATAAAATGATACTTAACTATAGTAAGATCTTTATAACTATGATTTTGATATTTTTTTACCGTTACAAGGACATCTTATCTTAGTTTTGTCCATACATTAAGGATGACTGACGGAAAAAGCAATAAATTTATTTACCTCATCAACAAAATACTCGATTTAAAAAATCATTAGTAAATCTATAGTCGATCCATGAACAATCTGAATTCATAATTAGTTTTGTCCGCATATTTAAGTAAAAAATAGAATAACTACTTATTGTTGTTTAAAAATTATTCATTGGACATCATATAAATTTTTGTTATAACTAATTAAAATTTTTAACAAAATTTCAACATAATTTTCCTTATAAAGTGGATGTATTCCAATTAACATATATTCAAGATCAATAAAATACATAAAACATGCAACATAGTCCATCCATAGGTATCGAAATCAATGCAAATTGCATACACAATCCAAGATAACACTATTCTTGTCCTCCCATCTTCATCGTGGAGCATTGACACCAACCTTATACCTTCTCAATTATTTTTCCTATGACATCATATCTCCGAGGTGTCACCCTAATATCAATGACTAAACACTTCAAATTTCTTCACATTTCAAGTATAACTACCTATATACTTCTATAAAAAAAACTCGATGGAAAATAATATAACAAATGATTTCATACAAGTACGAACTATAAATTATTTTACCACATAATTAAAAATTTTTAACACCAAAATAACATCATTAACACCAAATTAATTAAATTAACACCTAATTAACTTATTTAGCACCTAATAAATTTATTTTGCCCGAATAAATTACACTAACACCTAATCAAATTTTTCAACATCAAATTGATTTAATAATACCTAATTATATTAACTTAGCACTCGATGAAATACTTTAACACCTAATTAACTTATTTAACACTTAATAAAATTATTTTACACCTAAATAAATTAGTTTCACACCTAATTAAATTTTTTTAACAATTAATTAACTCAATTAACACCTAATTATATTAACTTAACATCTAATGAAATATTTTAACTCTAATTTACTTATTTAAAGCCTAATAAAATTATTTTACACCTAAATAAATTAACTTAACACCTAATTAAATTTTTTAAACAATTAATTAATTTAATTAACACATAATTAACTTATTTTAACATCTAAATAACATAATTAACACCTAATAAAATTATTTTTCACCTAAATAAATTACCTTAACACCTAATATAATTATTTAACAACTAATAAATTATCCCTAAAAAGAAAATAAATTAAACTAACTAACAATTAACAACAAAAAAACTAATTAAGTATATAGTACATATATATAAACAGCAATATATATACATTTAATAAAATAAAATAAAAAACCAAGAACTCACCTTAGGAGAGTAAGGAAGCCCACAAATGGAAGAGGAGTGAAAGGAGGAGTTGCGCCAATAATGGACCCACGAAGAAAAGGAGGGAAGGGTGAAGAGAAGGAAAGGAGAGAAAAAAATAAGAAAATGGAAGGAATAGAGGGGAAGAAGAAGAAAAGAAGAGAGAATGGAAGTTTGGAGGAGCTCATGGTGTCTATAGAGGTTTTTAGGGGTGGTGGCATCGACCGAGGAGAAGGGGAGAAAAGAAGAAGAAAAATTAGCAACGAACTCATTTAGGGATTTTGCATTTAGTAACGGTTCATATTCCATCACGAAACCATTGCTAAATGCCCTTTTTTTAAAAAAAAAATGATTCTCCATCTAGGTTGAAATAAAGATGTTTTTGCGATAGTTTGTAAGACCATCGCTAAATATTGCTAAAAAGCAATGTATTTAGTGACGATCCGGTCAAACCATCGCTAAATTTGACTTAAAAAAAGGTTTTTAGCAACAGTTTGATAAACCATTACTAAAACCCATTTAGTTGAGTTTCATTAGTGATGGCCTCGATCGGATTGTCGTTAATCCATGGTTTTTAGTGATAATTTATCAAACTCGTCACTAAAAATTGAATTAAAATGATAGAATTCGCTACGATACTGCCCATATTGTCGTGAATTTTAGTTTTTTTGCTATGATTTTCCAAACCGTAGCGAAAATCACCCAAATTCTTGGGTTTTTAACGACAATTTTCGTCACTAAATACTCAAGAATTTGCTTGTTTTGGCAACAATTTAAAAAACCGTTGCGAATTTGTAAGTTTTTAGAGACAGTTTTCAAAACCATTGCTAAAAACCCAAAATTGTAACCAAATTTGCACAATTTATTCAAACAAGTGGTGAATTCTTAGTTTTTAGCAATGATTTTTTAAACCATCGTTAAAAAATAATAATTAATTCTCTGTTTTATTGTAGTGGTTTTTATATCATTGAATTGATATCTTAAGGTGGTGTTATGGATAATTATTAATTAAAGTTGCAATGAGATTGAAAATCTCTTCAAAAGCAACTTAAATTAAGTTTATTTTTATTATCGAACAAAATTACGATTTTTTAGAGTTTAAAATTTGCAGTTTGATTTTTTTCACAAATCCGGTGTCCGTAAAATTAATGTGCTTGCACTACGCAAGCACCCTGATTTTGTACGTGGTTCTTCTTTTTTCTTTTTTCTTTTTTTCATTTGTAGCTATGTCTCGACTTATGTATTTTTCTTGGATAAAAGTGGACATGATTTACCTAAGATTTCAGTGTCACAACTAAGCTCTCTAGGCTATTGCGTTGGAAAAATAATTGATGCTACCAGAACTTTGTATTCTATATCATATATATGCTCGAAAGGAAGAAAAAAGTAAAAAGTTGAAGTAAATGGTCAACAGTTAGGCACAGGCCCTTCGTGTATATGTTAGGTCTACTGCAAAAGGAAAAAATCCCACTTCCAGCAAACCAGAATTGAGAAATGAGAATCAGTTTTTGGTCCCCTGCCACACCCCCTCACGTTTCTTGATCTCTCTTTCCCCGCCACAAACCATTCCCAAGCTTTGGAAAAGGACATTATTCTTTTGCATTCACATGAGCATCCCTCCTTTCTACTCACGAAAATTTTTATTCCACGACCATTCAACTTCTTTAATTGTCTAAATTAAGTAGCTCTCTCTCTCTCTCTTTAATTAGGAGATTCATTGAACCTTAAATTACAGAACATTTGGGAAAGAAAAGACTCGTAATTGGATTTAAACTTGATTAAGTCACTTGAAATTAATCACCTCAAGTAATTTTGCAAGAAGCAATCCTAGTTTTTTTTTTTTTTTTTTAGTTCGATAAGAGGGTCAAATGGATCTCAAGATTATTGGAAAATATTGAAACCTCTACCAAAAATCCTAATTCTTAATCTATGGGGCATTGTAAAGCTTGTTCTCCGTTTCGCAAACTGCAACCACATCATCATTACGTAATTACATTTTCTCTTTAAAATAGTAATCTCCCTGATCAAGTTTACATGATATTACCATTGAGCTTATAACATACTATAATGATAGTGATTGTTTATGATAAGAAATTATAAATTTAAATCTTAACAGATTAATTTTATTAACATTATTGAGTGTGAGAGGAAAATTTTTTTTACATAATATCATTAACCTACTTTTTCTTCGACTAATATGCAGGCCCAGATACGAATTTTGGGAATGCTGGTCTGTAGTGTATAAGTTTTGATTGCTATGCCTTTAAAAATAGAAAACTTTGTACTAGTCTTTTTCTACCAGGCCTCTCTAGAATACAACGTCCCAATCCAGAAATCTTTTTTTTTTCCCTTCCTGTCAAAAACAAAACAAAGATTCCCATAGTGGAGGGCTAATGAAAGACTTGCAAAAAGAAAATGCGAAGGATTCTTCTCAATCTTATAAAATGTCCACATTAAATTGATGTTACATATATATGTTCGAAACGAAACCCTGACCCAAAATTTCTGTATCTTAAGACCCTTACCTACATTTGGTCCCACCTTAGCTACACCTGCATCCAAACATCCCCATATTATATCCATCCATCCGTCCATCCCCAGAAACTTACCTCTATAAATACCCTACTATCATCCCATGACCAACTCCATCTGCAACCTTACAAAACCTTATACACACACCCAAGCACATATATACCTAAATATCCTTTCATTTTTGGCTTTTAGCTGCAGCTACCATTGAAAATGTCTGGTGTTTGGGTTTTCAAGAACGGTGTTGTTCGGCTGGTGGAGAATCCAGGACCTGACCCGGTAGATGGAAGCCGGCAAGGGTCGTCGAATACCAAGCGAAAAGTACTAGTTCACACTCCTAGTAATGAAGTTATAACTTCTTATGGTGTTCTTGAACGCAAGCTATCTCCACTTGGATGGGAGAGGTACTATGATGACCCGGATCTCCTTCAATTCCACAAAAGATCCACTATCCATCTCATATCTCTCCCTAAGGATTTTAACAAGTTCAAGTCCATGCACATGTATGATATCGTCGTCAAAAACCGCAATACGTTTGAAGTCAGGGATATGTAGTACGTTAACTACGTCCTCGCCATATATAGTCCTTTCTTCATGTTTGTGTGCACTTTAACTTTAGTCCTTTCTGTCATTTCTTTTTTGGTTGTCATCCTTTTGGTTTCTTGTGTATCATACAGTCTATTTAATCCTTTTTATTTACTTCTTTCCTAGTTTGGTGATATGGGTTTTAACTGTTCTTTTTTTGAAAATTGGGCTTTAATTGTTCTTAGTTATGTGTGCTTAAGCAGCAGGAAAGCTAATGTAGTTAAGGGCTTGCGATTTGGTCATGATGTGAATTTATTTCTTCAGTTTCTTTTTGGGAAATGAAAAGTGGTTTCTTCTTGTTCTTTTTATTTTTTATATAATTAATTTGTGTTTCTTATTTATTTATTCTCCAAGGTTACAGCTCTTCTCATGTTATTACAAGTATGCAAAACAACCCCATTGATCTACAGGATCTGTCGGATGACATGTCATTTTTGTTGATGACACTGAAATGTATATTTTCGTGAACAAGTTCAGCACTGAGGAGCAAAATTTGCAGGCTTCATGTTACTATATATATATACTATATATCTTTTTGGACTGAAATGTCAAAGGCGGCTTCAGTTTTTGCTTTTTCCACCAGAGATGTGATGAAGGATTTTTAGGATGGCAAAATTAAAGGTGGGTCACGTGAACCTATAGCCAAACATTTGCTTAATCACCTTGCAACAATGCCATCTCTTTTTGTGAGCAAGTGGTGAGAACCACCAACACATGCATGACCAATTTGCTTGGAGTATACCTAATTAAAAAGAATTCCAAATACCCACATTGCTCTATTTTAATTTTGTGAAACATGTAAAGACTAAAGAGGATCCATAGAATTTGGACAAGCTTTATTTCACCAGGAATGAGACAAACATCTTAATTAATAAGCCCTTAGCTAGGTTCCAAATCCTTACTCTCAAAATCAAATCTTCACGACAAAGAAGAATTGAAAAACATGAACATATGCATCTCCATTTCGAATTATATTCTTACAAGTTTACAACTCTAGTTAAAAATCATATATGTCCATGAATGAGACAAACGTTAGGTTCCATCGGCTGGAAGTAGTAAGTTTGTATCAGCCAAAATTTTACTCAAAATAGAAGCTTGGCCCGAAAAATGGAAAAGGACAGTTTTATTTATTTATCTGCAATTATATAAGTAAAAAAAATGATAGGTCACATTACCAGCCCATGCCCCAAAAAGAAAGGAGGTTTTATCGCAAGGGCCAGTTGGAGAACAACTTGCATACTCTCATCCTATGAAGTTAAAGATGCCACGAGCACCATATTCCCAATTGGCAGCCATGGATTTTGCCAAAAAAAGTTCAATTTTTTTTCGTTTTTCAAGTCATTAATTTATTTGATTCTTAATTAAAATTAAATTTGCAAGAATGCCATATTCTCTCCATCCTTTTTCAAAGTTCTTCCTTTAATTAGTAAGTAATTTGAGGTCGTCAGTTAGCTATTAAATATGCTTTCTCTCTGTTTAATGGTACTTACTTTTGAATTGTAAGACATGTATTATTAATTTCGCCAATAATTCAGGAATAAAAATGCCATTACACCAATTCTCTCTGTATATAATTAGCTCTTTCATGAAGAGATTAATGTTTAAATTAATTTGAGAAAACATTCTATGGAAAACAACATTAGATCTTAACCTCCATTCTTTTTTTTTTTTTTTTTTTGTTCTAAAAAAAATTCTCTATCCTAACAAATTAAGAGATATATGGAAGCTCGGAAAGAAGATTATTTTTTCATTATGGAACCAAAACTTTAGTTATTTTAACTATATAAAGTCATGCCGTACATAAACTTATAATCATTACCCCCTTAATTTCTTACATTGGCCACTAATAAACAAAAAGGAAAAAAAATCAATCTCTAACTTGTAAACTCAAATGAGGAAAGTATTTTACTTCCATTCGTTTCCCTTCTTTTTTCTCCTCCTCTTAAATAAACTATTCTTTCTCATGCACACACATTAATTGTTAATTATAATCTTCAATGTGTATGAAGCCCATGTAATAAGTATGTTTACCGCGACATTTTTCTTGTGCTTTTGTTGTTTGAAAAGTTTAGGAGAGATGGTGCATGGATCGGTAATCTTAATCAGTGAACTCTTCAAACAAATGGATTGTGCATTCGGATATAAATCCAAGATTAAAGTCTGTCTAATTTCATCTAATTAATTAGATAATCTAAAATCTCAAAATAACCCAATTAATGTCATCTCACTTTTCTTTTCCCACTCTTTTGTGCACGTATGCATTCCCAAAGGAATAGGCAGCTGGCAAGAATGCATGAACCCAAAGTTTTTGGTTTTTGGCTACGGCGCCATGCATGTACCGATCATAATGAGCTCTAGCTAGTAGAGCTAGCACAACAAACTCGTGTGGATAAGGCTCTTATCAACATGTGTCTAAATGCAAAGAAATCGAAACCCACCATGTATAGAAGGTCCAAGAATTCTTTGAGCTGTTACTTTTTTTCATGCCAGTCATGCGGCTACGAGCCCATTCCTTGTTTGAATGGGCTGCAATGCAGTTTTAATTGAGTAGTCAGTTTCCTTTGCTTGGTTGTTCTTCTTCTCATTAAAAGAGAGATCAGATCAAGCAAAGGAATTCATAAAAGGGCGAGGGAGAGAAGAGAAAGCTGTTAGTTTTATCCTGTCTACACCTAGTCCAAAAAAAGAAGGGAAGATCCTATCCACAAAGGATGGGGGAAGAGAGATCCTATTTTGTCTTGTAATGAGTTTGATTTTGATAGCCAGAGCCTTTGTCATGTCAAATGCCATGCACCAACGCATATCATTGGAGTCAATCTCATTTCTTTAGACCTATGTCCAATAAAAGGGGTCCAATTTTATCGGGGGGTTTTTTTTTTAAAAAAAAATAATAATAATAACATCCATGTCCAAACGAAAAAAGGTTGTTCCTGAACTGTGGACACCTTTCTTATAAAATGATAAGGGAAGCTGAAAAATTAAATAGAAAAAGGAAGCAGTTCCATCCTTTTTCTTTTTTTTTTTTTTTAATGAATGATAAATATATTTTTTTAATTTACACACTTAATTTTTTAATAAAACTAACTTATTAGGATTTGAATTTATTATTTTTTATAAATGACTATTACTATTACTGAACTATAAATTCTTTAGATTCAAGATGAATGATATTATTTAAAGCAAATGTTTTGATATCATTTTCATTTCCTGTTTTTGTTTCCAAGATTTTATTAGTATATATACGACTGCTGGAACAATGTAAAGTATACTTTATTGCGGTTTGTTAGTCACAACTGTAGATGGATTGGGTTTTCAAACAACTATAGAAAATGTTGTCGCTCCGGTAACTTGCATAAAGTTTCGAACACATGCAAAATTAACACCTTTAAGGGCAATAATTCCAAAACTTACGCCAGACTTTTGCCACTTTCTGATTATGAACCAAGAAGATCATAGCACCAACCCACGTAATTAAATTAGTTTTATAAGCCTGTGGGACAAGCAATTCGGATTCTACTTCTACACTTGCCAAATTCACAAAGAAATTCACAAAGATCGATAAAGAAAACTTCTATTTTGATTCCATAAACAATTGTTTTTTTAATATACTATTAATTAACCTTATAATTAACTACGCATGCACTCCAGGCGTTTGAAAATTTTTCAGGGTTTGGTGCGATGGATAATATAATTATATCTTCAATTCAACTACATAATTATTATACTACATATGCTTTTCCTGCGCCTACCTTAATTTCGTGGAACATTTTCAGAAACTAGCTAGCTATAACATTATGCATGGAAAAGCATTAAAAAAAAGAGTTATAAAATGTGCAAGCTAAAAAGAAAAAGAAAAAAAACTACTTCATTTGGTGTGGTAGGCAAGCCATGACTTTGTGGCAGTTCTATAAATATAGACAAGTACAAGTAGGTGCCGGCCTAGCAACACGAAGTACTCTAGCTGTTTGTTTGAGTAATCTTTTCTTCAATTTCCTTGAATAGACTTTCTTTTTGGGTACAGAAAAAGTCATTTTAGAGTTTTCAAATGGGAGATGACATGGAAAGTGATGTGTTCCAACTTGGAATTGCAGCTTGAAGAAACTTTTTGATGATTATATATAGTTAATTAACTTAATTTTATTTTAATATGCAAAGTTGCGATGAATTATTTTGTGTGGTTATCAATTAAAAAAATTAAATAAAAGAATTTTGTAAAAGTTGGAAAGCAATGTGCAAAACAATTTATCTTTCAAACTCTAAATTAGACGATTAAAATGACTAAGTAAATAAATTAAATTAGATATTAATATATTAATAAAGATACTATCATATTTAAAACATAAACTAACTTATATTTCTCACAATAATTAACTAGAAATTTAATCAAAAAGTTTATGAACTATAGAATACAAAGTTGAACAAAAATAGGAACCTATAAATACCGAATTAAAAGTCTTTACAATAATACCGACTCTACAAACATAAACAATAATGACTCTATAAGCAAAAGCATAAAACATACGGACGTTGGACTTACTCAACAAACACCAATTGGAACTTCAAATATCGAGAGACAGGATCTATGTGTGTTGCGACAAAAGTGGTAATCGAACCGGGGACGATCTATCAATCTATTTGATTACAACCTATTTTATTACTATTTTAAAATTATAGCCTAGTGTGCTTTGAGTATTTAAACTAAAAGAAAAAGCTGACAATTTGCAAGAGTATTGTATTGTAGTTATTATTGTTGATTATGTTATTCATGTGTTCTCCCTTTTTTGTAGTTGATATTTATAGGCTCTTGGCTCTTTTATGATCTTTTATAGTGCTTCATGATCATTGGTAGTGCTACATGTTCTATTATGAGTTCCTATTTTTATGCTCGCAATACTCCATTATTTTGATCATGTCTCATTTTCTCTTGTAACTTCTCATTTTCTCCTAACAATTAGGAAGCATAGTACATGTATTTATTTTATTATAATTAACTTTTCTGTTTGTTAGGAACTCCAAAATGATGGGTATAACATTTGTCCTTCTTCTTTACATATGTGAGTGTTTACTTTATTTATGGAAAAAAATCTCCTTATGAATTTTTTGTTCTCTAAAATACCCTATTATCTTTTTTGTTTTAGAATGCACATTCTTCATCATTCAATCTAAAAGCCTTCTTAAAATGCTTTTTTTAATAAATGGATGAAACTCATGTGTTCTTACACATATTTTAAATGCCTTGCGAATAAAGAACATAATAACAATTGATCATAGTAAGAGATTAAAGATACCTCATATATATGAAACTTTAAAATCAACCAAATGAATATGGCTTTCAATTCATGTGACCTTAATAACCAACAAGGATGCCAATTCTCATGTATGAATAAGATAGTCATATGGACTCTTATTGTTTATTTTCCATCACATGGTAGGATTTCATTTGGATCTATATTTTTGGATGATTCCAATCTTCCAATACTTGTATCATAATCATTCATTATAATTCCAAGGCCTAAATATAGAATTTTCTTGAAACCTTGTGGTGATTCTTCTAATTTAAGGCTTTGATAATCCATGATTTCATAATTTGAATCTGAATTTTTCTTAAGATCTTGGAATGCATTCATATTTGTAATGCTTTGATCATAATTATCCATAGTGACCTCAAAATTTAAGTTAGAACTCATATTGCTAATTCATTGCACCTCAAGTCCATGGGCTTATCTTGTAGCCCCCAAAATATATTTACAATTAGATTGCAAGGGTTGATGGTTTGCACTTCTAGGTCTTTCATTTGCAATTTTGCAATTACATTTTTTAGTCTCTTAGACTTGCAATTACAGTTCAAATCCTTAGAAAGTCTATATTTGTAGACTTGTAATTGTAACTTTCAATCCCTATAGAGATTGTTTCTATAGACATGCAATTGTAAATTTCAATCCATATAATGTCCGTACTCGTAGACCTACAAATATAGCTTCCAATCCCCGTAGAGTCTATATCCGTATACTTATAATTGGAGCTTTCGACCTATAGAATCAATGCATGTAGACTTGTGACTAAAGCTTCCAACCTCTCGCATAATCAATGCCTATAGACTTATGATTAGAGCTTATAACCTTTACGGAATTAATGCCTGCAGACTTGTAATTAAAGCTTTCAATTCATGTAGAGTTTGTATCTACGGACTTATAATTGGAGTTTCCAACCCTTACAAAATCAATGTCTGCTAACTTGTGAATGGAGTTTCCAATCCTTGCATAATCGGTACTTGTAGACTTGTGATTAAAGCTTTCAACCTTTAGAGAATGAGTGCTCGTAGACTTAGAGCTTTCAACCCTTGTAGAATCGGTAGCTACGGACTTATAATTGAAGCTTTTAACCCTTGTAGAATCATTATCTATAGACTTGTAATTGGAGCTTTTAAATTTTGTAGAATCAATGTCTACGGACTTGTGATTAGAACTTCCAACCCCCGCAGATTATGTACTTGCAAACTTGTAATTGGAGCTTTTAATCCTTACAAAATTAATATTTAGATCTACATAAGGTTTATATATATATATATATATATATATATATATATATAAAGGATGACTAGTTTCTCCAATTACTTGAATTTTTTAGGTAAAGGGTGTAGATTTAAATGATGAATTGTATCTTCTATTATAACCTTCTATATCTTTATAAAAATTACTATATGTCTTTGAAAGCAAAGTTGTCTTCGTTGTTAACCAAATTTTCCTTATAGTGATTTTCTATGACTTCCATTCTTAGCCTATATTGTTCTTCCATCTCGTTTCATGTAGGCCTTATGTTTGATGCCTAAATTTTTAGGGCCTCTTTGACCATTTCTTTGAAAATGACTTGTTGTTCCTCGGTTGACATCGGGACGGGTTCATCTTATGGCTTATTAGGCATGGTTGAAACTTAGTCGCTTTTATGTGCAACGACTATTGCATCGAGAGGGTGAATTTCCTCACCTTCGCCCTATATAAAAAGGAATTATATCTTCTATTATAACCTTCTATATCTTTATAAAAGTCACTAGATGTCTTTGCAAGCAAAATTGTCTTGTTGTTCGCCAACCTTTGCTTGTAGTGATTTTCTATGTCTTCCATTCTTAACCTATGTTGTTCTTTCATTTGTTTCATGTAGGCCTTATGTTTGATGCCTAAATTTTTAGGGCCTCTTTGACCCTTTCTTTGAAAATGACTTGTTCCTCAATTAACATCAAGACGAGTTCATCTTATGACTCATTTGACATAGTTGAAACTAAAGCTCGCCTTTATGTGCAACGATTATAGCATCGGAGGGGTGAGGGGTGAGTTTCCTCATCTTCAACCCATATAGAAAGCAATTTGTTTGATTTTCTTGGTGCCATTTAGAATAGCACTCCCACTCGTGGTCGTCGAAAAAATATTATAGATTTTTTTTTTATGTCGACCTCAATTAAGAGAACTTTGAAACAAAAAAGATTTTATAAAGGTTGGAAGACGATCTGCAGAGTAGTCTATCTTTGGGACTCTAGATTAAATGGATAAAATGATCAAGTAAATAAATTAAATTAGATATTAAAATATTAATAAAGACATCATCTCTATTTAAAACATAAACTAACTTCTCTTTCTCACAATAATTAATTAGAAATTCAATCAACAAGTTTATGAACTATGGAATGTCAAGCTAAACAAAAGTAGGAATATGTAATTATTGAATTAAAAGCTTTTACAAACAATTCTAACTCGGAAGCATAAACAATACGCCTCTAGAAGCAAAAGCATAAAAACTTATAGACGCTGGACCCGTTGATCAAACCAAATAAAACTCCAAACATCGAGAGACGAGATTTATGTGTGTTGAGATGAAAGTGGTAATCAAACCATGGATGATCTCTCGGCCTATTTGATTACAACCAATTTAATTACAGCCTTCTTGAATACTACTTACAAACTATAACTTATTGTGTTTCGAGTGCTTGAACAAAAAGATAAAGCTGACAATTTACAAGAGTATTGTATTCTAGTTATTGTTGTTAATTGTGTTGTTCTTGTGTTTTCTCTTTATTATAGCTAGTATTTATAGACTTTTAGCTTCTCCATGATTTTTTTGTAATACTCCATGATCCTTGATAGTACTCTATGTTTTGTTGTGACTTTCTATTCTTGTATTGCAATACTCTATTATCTTGATCATAGCCCATATAGTTATTTTGTTATAACTAACTCCTTTATTTGTTAGGAACTCCAAATAATGGTATAACAAAAGGAGATGGATTTTATCCATTTCTACCAAAATGTTTGTTCCATTTATTAATTTATTAATAATGTTCTTCAAATTCATATATGATAAACTAAAATCAAGTAATTTAAAAAGGTAACTGATCGAAAACAAATTGATAGAATCCATGTATTTCAAAAAGATGAATGATATTAACCTTGTTAATTTTTACTCGACAAATCGGAGTCCATTAGCTGTTGCATCTTTAGAAAGACTCGGACAAGTTAACCTTCTAAAAAAAAATCGAAAAAACTAATAATAGTAGAATTACATTTTATTGACAAATCAACCCTAGTCCCTTTGTACTCCATTAGCTGTTTCATCTTTAGAAAGACTAGGCAGCCCAAATGAACGACAATGGCAAGCCCAATAATTCAGTCCGAAAGCAAAAGATTTGGATGACGATCAAGAACAACATGCCGTGCGTGATATCTCGGGAAGGAAGCACTGATTCTTGACTTGTACTTGCTTTCATCACTGGATGTTGTCAAGGAACTTTCACTCTGTTTGCTGGTTCTCTTTAGACTTGAGATTCCTCTCTTCCTAATCAGTGTAAATGTACCCTGCGCATAAGGATCAACCCACTTTAGGAGAGTCCTTGTGTGAAATCTGCAGGCTTGCGTCTGTGCACTAGGGTAGGCTGGGCTCATTCATTTTTGGCTCCCTCAAGTGATTGTACTAATTTTATCCATCAGTTTTAAGCATCTGATCCTTTTTTCTCTCAGTCCTACAAATACAGCTTCCATGTTCATTGGATTCAGCTAATTAACACACAGGCAGGGAAGTCCATTCACTGAGGGACATAAAATATCATCTACAAGATCACGGCTCTGGGGGGAAATAGGAAAAAAAAATATGGCTAGGGGTGGGAAGTGGGGTGGGGTTTCTGGAATCACCTAGCTAGTCAGCATCGGACCAAGACATACTGTTAATCAAATTTGACTGCTATATGAATGCAAGAAAAATGCAAAAAAGAAATGTCCCTGTAATATTTGACACAAACACTACAACACATGATACAACTCTCAAGCTAAAAACAGCTTTAAAATCTCTCTATACCAACTTGCTAAGAAGATAGAATACCACTCTGATGAAACCCAAGTTCCTCTGCCGAAGTTCCAACACAAACTGTGGAAGGTCTTTTTGTATATAGCATCAAGTTCTCTATATTGAATGATTACTAGTTGGAACAATCAAATCCATGGCAAATAGAAAGCCAGATTATTAGTACCAGAATCAATAAGATTCCAAGAACAACCAGCTTAATCTTCATGTTTTGATACCACATTTTCCGTCGAATTTGTGTTCCATGTTTCTTGTACGCTTGGGCCTAAATTAAAAAAACAAAGAAAATAGTCAAGTACTTGGCATGAAGGGATTGACCACAGTTAAAAGTTGGCACAGTTAACCAACCTGATCGCGCAGAGTCTCAGTCTTGTCGGCAAGAGTCGTTATGGCCTCACCTCTATCAATAGCCTGGAAAGCACAGGAGCCATCAAATAAGCAGGTATATATTGCAGCATGCATTTAGCTACGTTTATCTGTTACCTCATTTCTAATTCTTCAAACAACAAAATACAATAGCAAGATTTAATCGCTTAATTATTGCATGCAAATGATTAATTTAGACAAGCTTTACATTTTTCATCAATGCAATTGGTATAAGTGCTGCCATTTAAAAGCTAATAAAATGTCGGTTCTCAAGTTTTAAATGAGATATGCCAAATGGAACTTCCAACCTGCCAGTACTATGAGAAATAATTGCACAGACACCGATCATGCCAGTGTAGAGAAAACAAATTATACCATGATATATTAGACCAATCATTTTAGTTGATGTTTTGCAATGCAAGTGGTTTGTTCCATACGGGACTCTGCAATAAGTGATCCTATAACAGGCCAATTAACTAGGTATGTTTCCTTTTAGAGTGGACTTGTTAAGATTCTTAAACAAATACTCTACATTAATTCACTAGTCCTTGCAAAGAAAGCAGACCAAAAAAAAAAGTTGAGAACCCATTTGACACTCATAAAGATCATGTCGCAACATATTCTTTTTCAAATGAAAATTTCCACCATAATCGTTCTTCAGAATTATTATTATCATTATTACCAATTTTTTATTTATTTTATTTATTTATTTATTTTGTGTCTGGTGCTCATTGCTCAATACTCAGTTCTTGTTATGAGACATCTGAAGAAAACACACTGACACATCACACATGCAAATCTGCGCACGCAGAGACACATGCATGCACATCTATAGAGTAAGCTTGTTTCCACAAGAGCATTACATAGCTCTAGTCCCTAAAAATAGAACACTTTCCTACCACATGCTAACCATTAAAAGCATTGATACTCAGAATTGATTAATTAAGAACTGAGCATATCCTTGAATAAAATACTCAAATTAGGGTGTAAGATCACCAGAAAAAAATTGCAGACTTTTAGAGTATTTTAGAAACAGTTTTTCCAGTATAGTTCATTTACCTTGTCAATATTTCCTAACATTATGCTTTTAACTTCTGAAACTTGAGCCTTCACTTTTATTAGCTTTTCAATCTCTTCAGCATGGTCAATAATATACTTCATGTGCTCTTTCATGACTGGTCTGAAATAAGGATCATATGGTCTTACTTTAAAGTATAAAAATCAAAGTCAAAATTAAAACATAAATCTTGATAGACCTTTTCTTTGTGTTCAATACTTGACATACTTTCATAGATGCACATACCCGAACTCCTTATTGAGACTTTTGGCAACAGCAGTATCTGCTTTACCACCCCCATATCGTTTCTTGAAGTCTGCTTTCATGCGTTCCAAAAATGCAATGGAGATCTGCTTGCTGACAGTTTCTTTGGCAACAACACAATATGCTGCAAATTGCAAAAAGCATCATATATAGGAGGAAGCTAGAAGCATTAAAAGTTTCCCCACTATAGTTGAGTGGTGCTTTTTATTGACAACAGATTACAAAGGATCCCAATAGCTCTGGTTCTGGATTGGATCGAGCAATAAGTGAAGGAGCTTCATCAACCCCAATGAGGGAAGCAAGAGCTACTAATGCAACTGCCAGCTCTCACAAGGGTCAGTCAAATAGGATGAAGTCATGAGTGGACAGCACAATTCTGCCTTTGGATGGGGGCATAGCAGAAATAGTGGTAGTAGATACACCAAAAAGCAAGCCTAGATTAAGCACGGTGGTCATGCTTTAGTTGGACCTACAGCCCTCAAGAACATGAATTCATGGTGGTTTCCTAACTACCGTGGCTTTGACAACTAAAATTACTTGCTATAGATAGCTGATTAATGATGCATATGTATACATATAAACAAAATATGAAAATCTGATCAAGCATATCAACTTGTTCCATCCCTCAAATTAGAACAGGACACACACTATACAAAATTCGGGACTTTGACGCTCGTTTTTGCAAGATGATCTCATGATTTCTTAATGCATAATGCCAAGGACTCCAGAAAGGTGGTACAGATCACTGCCAACAACCCTCACCGCATGGGCCTCACCCGTCTAGCGACAAAGAGGACAGGAAAAATGATTTGCACTTATAGGAGATTCAAAAGCTAGCAACTTCGCCTTCAGACGGTCATTGATTTAAAAGTCAGTACAATTCTATTACAGAGCCAACTCTTAAGCAATGATCATTCAACCAGGAATTAATAACTCACTTTTGTAATATTTTGGAATCTTACACTACAGCTTCACTAATATACCTCTATTTGATAGAAACTTGTACGCATATATGTATTGCATAATCTCCATTTATTTTGGCAAAAGAAATTTTCTTTGATATTTTTCAGTAATCTAAGTGGGCATAGAAAATTTATGAACTTGATAAATAAAACATTCATGCAATCCGGAAACAGGGCCCCATACACAATTGGACCTCTACCAGAATACTATCTAGCTACTGTGACCAAAATAAGACAATTAATTCCCCTTCCCTTACCTCACTTAATTTCCTTTGAAACCAGACAGTAATTACACTGCCAAAATAAACAATAATAACTATAAAACTAAACAAAAAGAAAAGTACCCAAGTTGAGATTTTGGCCTCAAACAAAGTAAATCCAAAGAGAGACAAACATCACTGACAAGATCCATTCACTTGGAAAAAAAAAAAAAGAAGAAGAAGAGAAATGAAGAAACGAAATTGTAAATAAGAAAATTACCGTAGCCATCTTCAACAAGAAAATTAAAGGTATGGTGGTCACAATTGTAAGTGAACTTGTCATTGGAAGAAGGGAGTTTCTGAAGGCACTGAGTTGCGATCGCTGGAAAGTTGCCAGTGAACTCAGTGTACTCTGCTAAAATCATTGTGCCTCGCGCCACGAAGCTGTATATGAACGATTCCTGACTCATTTCTTGAGTTAACAATACTCCGAGTCAGCTCGAGGGAGAGAGAGAGAAGATTTGTTAAGACCGGATTATTTCAGACAAGAGAGAGAGGGTTTGTTCTGGTTCTACGTTAAGGGCGTTTTCTAGGCCGTGTTTGGTTTGTGTTTTTCTTTGCTGCGAAGAAAGAATTTTCTCTTAAATTATTTTTACAAGTAAACGGCCGCGAAGAAAATTAAAGGTTAATTGAGACCGCGATTAAAATAGACTCTTTCAATTTCCTCAAAAAGAAAAAAACAACATCAATAATAAAGGTTTAATCACATAATTTTATAAAAGAAATAGAAATAATAGGAAAATTGAAGAGAAAAAAATGATAAGAAAATGATTTCACTATAAAGAAAATATAAGAGATAACAATTCTAAATAATTCTCACAATCTCTACAAAATGTTTATACACTAACTAATGAATAATCAAGTCTATTTATAGGCTTCAAATTTGAGAAGGGAATTAGAAGGGAATATGAATAATCAATTGCATCACCCCTTTCAATTTCACATATTGAATGATGAATTGAATCATATTAAAAATCATGAGTAATAGGGATATGAAAAGTAGATGAACATGATGATGGACATTTATTATTTCATAACACTCTCCCTTGAATGTCTATTGTATAAGAAACATACCTCGTTAAAACCTTACTAGGAAAAAACCTAATGGGAAAAAATCCTAGTGAAAGAAAAAAAAATTACAATATTCCTTGTACACATTAATCTCGATGTTGGCCTCTTCCTGTTGAAAACATCATTTGAGATCTCTAAGACGACATATTTCAATCTTGTAAATTATCTTCTCAAAGCTATGATAGGTAATACTTTAGCGAATAAATCGATCGATTGTCACTTTGATGTACTATTCCTTCAATGGAATTATGCAAGCGAGCATTATCCTCATATGATATCGTTGAAACTTCTTTGCTCGATAGATAAACCGCATGTCTCTTGGATATGATGGATCATTGATCTTAGCCAAACACATTCTCGACTTGTCTCGTGAATTGATATTTCCGCATAATTTGAAAATGTGATAGCTATAGTTTGCTTCATAGAACGCCAAAATATAGTTGTATCTCTATATGTAAATATAACCGATTGTGATCGAGCTTTGTGTGGATCGGATAAATAACCTACATCTACATAACTAATTCATCTTGTCTTTGATTTATTGAAGTAATATGCCCGTATCAATTATTTCTCGAAGATAACATAGTATATATTTAACTTTATTTCAATGTCTCTGTATTGAAACAAAACTACGACTTACTAATAAATTTATAGAAAAAACTATATCATGTCAAGTATTATTAGCAAGATATATCAATGCACTAGTGGCACTAAGATATGATACTTCATAATCAAGTAGTTCTTCGTTATCTTCGAGGTCGAAAATGGTCTTTTTGGATATCAAGTGAATGAACTACCATTTTTCTAGTCAATGAATGATCTTTATATAGAATCATTGTAGAACTTTTTCTATATAAATTGATTAATAAATAAAAATCTCATTCTCCGAGTACTCGAACCGTAAGTCGAGATAACATTTTGTTTTCCCAAGGTATTCACATCAAATTCTCTTTTTTAGATAACTTATAATACTTGGAATCTCTTTAGGAGTTCCAATAATATTTAAGCCATCAACATATATAACAAACCCCTTTTCAAATAAAAATATATAAACAAATAAAGCTATTTTTTTATAACTTTCTTTCAATAAATAAATATTGAAGTGATTATATCACATGCATACGAGTTAGTAATAAATAGTAGATATAAAAATAAACTATAAAAAATATAGTATAAATTGAATTTTTAAAAACTAAAATAATAAAAAAAAAGTACAAAAATAATCCTAGTAGAGATCTCTATAATTTAATTGAATTCTTTTCTCGAGAATATGTATTACATGCTTCGGCATGTTAAGTCCTTCTAAGACTTTCATACCGATATCATTTCAAATCAATAAATAAATTGTAATCACATTCATTAAATACATGCATATGAATGTTTTTCATATATTTTGTCGAGCTAATGAGATAACAAAAGACAATTGCATCCATTATAGGATAATATGTCTCCTCATAGTCAATGTCAGCTTTTTACAAAAACTCTAATGTTAAAAGTTTTGCTTTGTATCTTACAATCTCATCTTTTTTATTTCATTTTTGCATAAATACATATTTGTATCCCACTAGCTTAACATCTTTAAGTATTTTAGTTATGGGTTCAAAAAACTACTATTTTATAAGATAATATAATTCTGCTTGGATTGCTCTTTTCATTTAGGCCAATCATCTTTATGTCGATATTCTTCAATAAATTTTGGCTCGGGATCTTATTTTCATTCAAAATATCAATTGTAACATTATATGCAAAAATCTTATCAATAGATGTTTCTTTTCGGTCCTATTTTCTCCCTATAATGACATAATTTATCAAAATCTCTTAATTTTTCTCGGGCATTTGGACTTTTTTTGGAAGCATATTATTAGAAATATCTTAAACTGTTTTATAAATATTTTCATCTTTTATATTTTCATATTGCCCTTTTCTTTTGGAGATTTTTATCTTTAGAATCAATCGGTCTTCCACGCTTCGGTGTGCTTTAGATTCATTACCAATATGATTAATAAACTATCCCTCTAGAACATCAATTCTAATAGAAGCATTCTCAACAAGGACATGCATTTAGTTACTCTTTTATAAAATGAGAATGCATCTAATAGTTGGTTTGTAATACTTTGTAAACGAATTATCTTCCGAACTTCTAGTTTACATTGTTTCATACTAAATTGATATAAAAATAGAGTACTCTATGTAATCTCTTTTTTTCAACATTTCTAACTCGTTTATTTTGTTTATTCTCTCCCCTAATATTGAAAAAGCTGTTTCATCAAAATGACGAATCGATAAATCAAGTCGTAAAATATCAATTATTCATGATTTAAGATATTGAATCATCGAAAAGGATTTAAATCCAAGATATATTTTTAATATTCTTTAAGTGCTCATTTTAGTTTATTATGGAGGAGCACTCGCGGATATATACTCGTAATGCTAAAAAAAAATCTCAAATAAAAAATATTTGGCTCATGACCATAAACCAATTAAAGGGGAGATAATTTCTAATAACTTATGGGTCCGATACGAATAAGTATTGCTGCATGTAAGATTGCATGTCCCCTAACATAAACAATGAGTTTTTTTTTTAAATAATGATTTAGCTATAAATTGGAGCCCTTTAATAAATGATTTTGCTAAACCTTTCGAGTATGAACATAAGCAAACAGGATGTTCAATCTTTATTCTAATAGCCAATCATTAATAATTTAATTCATGATAAATAAATTCAATAGCATTAGCAAAGTGACTTGTTTTCATGGAATAATCTGAAAATTATGCTCGAAATCAAATTATTTGCAAGCAATCTCAAAAATGTCGGGTTTCGAATAGATAATATGCATATATGTGACCATCTTGTGGAAGCATTGATCAAAATCATAAAATATTTAAATGGTCCACATGGCGGATGAATTGATCCACATATATCACCTTGAATACATTCTAAAAATATTGGAGATTTAATCTTAATTTTACTTGGTTATGGCTTAATCATCAACTTGCCTTGACAACATGCGGAACATGAAAATTTATTAAATTAAAGAATCTTTTAGCTCTTTAATAAATATCTATATAAATTTTTAATAATATTTTTGCATCATGAAACACCCAAGATAACATGACCGGTCATACCACATAATAAAAATATTTGAATTAGTAAACTTTTGGTTTACTATAGCATTTGTTTCAATCATTTCAATATTTGTAATAAAGACTAGAAGAGAAAGCGGATAAATTTTTCAACACATATTTTCTACTCGGTATAATAATTATAATATATAAGTATTCACATATGCTATCTTGATATGATATCAATTTAGATGAATATCTTTAAAACTCAATAAATTTTTATGAGACTTTGAAAAGAATAGTACATCATTTATAATAAAATTTATCCTTTCGGATAATAACATATTTGCTCTTCCGAAGCCTTTAAATTATGTCACCTCAAGTAATAATATATTGACTATTCTAAAGTGTTTAAAAGTCATCTCTTTAAGTGATAATATATTCACTCTTTTAGAGTTTCAAAAACTTATCTCTTCGGGTAATAATATAATCGTTCTTCTAGAGTTTTCTATTATATTGATATCATCATATACAATATTAATACAAAATAATTAAATAAATACAAAATAAAAAAATAAATTCTTCATAAATATATATATATATATATATATATAAAGCATCTTATTTATAAATAGAAAAGGTAAAAAGTTATTAATTTTAATTACCTCCATTTTGATATATAAAATTAGCCTCTATATTTTGTTTGTTTTTTTTTCAATGAGGTTTGACAAGGCCTAATGAGGTGTTTTGGTATACAACAGGTACACGACCAATGTTTATTCATACCATAACTATAGCATTCATTTTCGGAATGCCGATTTTAACTATTTTCATTCTTTTTCCTTTTTTTTTCATAGTTATCCACTTGTGGTTGTGAGATATAATATTATGGTCATCACAATTATAATGACAATTATTTCGACAACGTCTATGGCTATGACCATGTCTTCTTCCATGCCTAAAATTATTATAAATTGTTCTATTCACTTCGGGGAATGGAGTAGATCCAAGTGGACAAGATTTATTCTTTTTCATTAATAGTTTTTCATTTTATTTAGCCTCGAAAAAGTATGAAATTGATTCAAAATATTTCTTAAATTCATTTTCTAGATATTGCTACTTGCATGAGCATATTCAAGATATAAAAAGTAGAGCATATTTTTTTAGAATCAAGCACTCATAATCAATAATTCTTATTTGAAGTATCAAGAGCCACAAAATCGAGTTTATGAGGTTTGATATGATAAAAATTCTATAATCTAAGGTATAATAATAA